CCTCTGCAGACATAAAAAAAGGAAAATAAAAACTAAACTAAACGTTGGGGAAGCTGAGTGTGTGGAGGTTTTTCAGCTGCTGCGTCTGCTGTATCTTTTTTTTTGGGCAGACATTGCAAAATAATTTCCACAACGTGTTGGAGGCCGTCAACGACAATGAACTTTTAATTACCCCCAAAGACTCGTTTCGCAAAAGAAACAGCAAACGAATATAAAAACGCAGCTCTGGAGGAGAAGTAACAACAAAAAATTAAGGAAAAAAAGAGAGTTTGGGGAAAGACTCGACTCGACTCGACTCGACTCAGCTCAACTCGACTCGATTCATTCAAATGAGGTTCACGGAAGGAGAAATATGAAAATTTTCAAAGGAGGAAAGCCACCTCCGTCCGTGATCATATGCAATTTAATGCCTGCCCAATTTGCTGCGGAACAATTGGCTCTTTTGTTGCGGAAAACCTTCTCCTTGCGAAAAGAAAAAACCTTCTCCTTTTGCCCGCCCCGAAAACAGATTAGATTTCAATTGAAGATTTGCCTGGGATTCGGGCCCGAAAGGCAGTTTGCGAAAAAAAAACTGGTTAGTCAAATTATGAATAAGTGTGCAGTTAGTACATTTTTCCAGCTAAAACCTAATCGAATGATTGCCAACTGCAATGATTGCAAATGCAAATGCAGCTACAGATACAGATACATTTCCAGATACATGCAGATACTTAACCCCAGCTTTTTTGGAAGACTTGAAGTGGTTTGTAGAATGCATTTTACTTTGGTTTTCGTTCAGGGAAAAGCATAGAAGTGTATTAAACATAAAATACTAAAGTATCTCACATTATTTTCAAGTTTTAAATATTATTTTGGTATCGAAATTTTGCCTATATCAAAAATTTCATTATACCCTCTTCCAGGGAATGTTATTTTAGTCAGAAGCTTAAAGCTTAGTGAATAAATCATTTCCGACCCTATAAATCATATATATTCTTGATCAGCATTAATAGGCGAATCTATTTGCCAAGCCTGGGAGAAAAAAAAATTTCAAATTTTTTCAAAATTTTATAAGGGGTTACATCGTTAAAATTTTCTAAAATCGAGAAAAATTGTAACTTTATTATATTTTAAATTGAGTATGCAGATTTATTGGCCTTACAAAAACTAGCAAAGAACTGCTTTCCGAATTGAAATGTTAGCTTTTTGGCATAGTTATGCTACTTTTAAAATTTGAATTGTTGAACAAATTTTCATAAAAAAGCGAATATCTTAAGTTTATTTAGGATAAATTTTCGATTATATTCTTTAATTTAATTGCAAACTGCAAGGTTATATCAACTTCATGTTCTCAAAGTTAGTTTCCTTTCCTTTATTGTAGAATATAAATCCCATTTATGGTAAAATATCAATATTATCGAACAAATATCAGAAAACTTATATTAATTATCAAAAAATTAATATATTAGCAAAAGCAGTACATCAATTGAATGCCATTTTTTAAGTTTATAGTTAAAGTATCTATGAACCTTAAAATCTTTATATTTATTTCTATAGAATAGGGTTTAAACCATGATTAAGATACACCCGATATATTATTGATGAATTGCTCACACATTACTGCCACATTAATATATAGAAATAGTATCTTTATATCATAATTTCTTAAATTCCTAGTCAATAAACAACTTCTCAACTTGGTATAAAAAATAGCCACAGTAAAAACTATTACCAAGCTAAATCACTCTTTTTTTCAATACTCAATCAGCCGAAAATATGACACAACGGTAATCTTAAATACCTGTTTTACACAAACAGCTAATTAGCTAGAATTAAAAGAAAGTAAAATGATATATACGATATTTTTAAAACTTGAGCAACAAAGATTTCTTTTAATGTGTTTACTCGGACAGCAGCAGCAGCTCCCTTCGAGAGGTTTATATAAGCGAGAGATACTGGGCAAGAGTTAAACAAATTTCCAAGTACTCACTTGTATCTTGCACATCATGAGATACATTTGTTATTGCCGCTTGTTACTGCTGACCAAACACAGAAATTGCTGGCGAAAAAATAAAGGTAAATAAAAATAAAAGCAAAATATGAAATTTTGCGACAATTAAACAGTGAAAGTCGCTAAAATGGATCGTTGTGGCATTAGCTATTATCCCGTCTTGTTATTATTGCTACTTTTTGCTGCTCTTTTTGTATTTGTTTTTCTGTCTTCTTTTTCTTTTGCTGTCAGCGATACGCCTTTGACAGATTTAATGAAAAAAAGGAAAATAAATAAATAAACTAAGACCTGAGATGGCAAACTGTGTTAGAAATAATCATCATTTTTCTTTTCAACTCTCTTTTCGCCTTTGTCTGTTGCGCTCTGCATTTTTAATTATATTTGTTCAGATTTTTACGGCTGCCTTTTTTTCCGTTTTAACGAGTGTGCACACTAAAACTAAAGCCGCCTCAAAGGTTGGACGCTGACCTTGAAGCGGCCCAAGAGGCACAAACTTATTTTATTTACAGTGAGCACTCGATAAGAGTAATTTATCATATTTTTCGTATGTGAAAAGTATTGAGTTTCAAAGCTGGGTTTTTATTTATATTTTAAATAATAAATATTTTTGAAATGCATTTATTATAAAAAGAAAAATTCAAAGAGTGTGCTTTTAAAATTCCCAAGAGCAAATTTGTCAGATTGTTGCTTATGGAAAAGCTTCCACAAAAATATCAACTAACTAAGTTCCCGGATTTGTTGTATTAAAAATAGTTAGTTAGCTAAAATATTTACAACATGATAAATGATAATAAAGCCTTCAAAATAATTAGTTTTCTTAATTTTCTGTGCTTACAACTGTATTGAAAAATCCCTTAGTTCAAATATAATTATTAATAAAGGCTCTAAGCATCATTTGATAACTAAGTTCCTCACAACTAAAGCTCACTGTTTATCTATATAAACATATATTTGTTTTTCGTTGTTTTTCCTCTATTTTTTGTTGTTGTGAAGATCGGGCCAAAAGTCTTTGGTTCCAGCCAAGTCACGTTCAATGCTATAACCCATATTAACCGCTCGTATGTGGGCCAGCATTAACGGTAATTGATTTTCAGCTCAGACTGTGACCGATTCGAGAAGCCAAAAAAAGAAAACTCAAAACGAAAAACGAAACACAACAAAAAAAACTCACAGAAAACAAAAACAGAAACAGGAAAAACAACAACACCACACAGAAGCACACTCATTAAAAATTGGTAACAAAAACGTGCCCAGACTTGGGCTCTGGCCTAGGAGATCTGGCCTCGTTTAAATCGGCTGAACAAGAAAGGCAGCAGAGACCGCGACAAGTGCATATGTATCTCGCAGATACTTACAAAAGGCCGCCCCCAAGAAGAAGAAGAAGGAGAAGTGTTCTCGTTTCTCGATTTCTCGATTTCTTGATTTCTCAAACTTCTCGGCTTTTGGAAAGTATAAATTCAAATGCTTGAATGGCATTGTCTTTTCCCTTTCTCCACACTCCACGCTATGAATGTGGAATTGATTTTGCCTTTAAAGGTCTAAAGAAAACTGATCTTTTAAGGCATGAAATAAACTAAATAGAAGTATATATTTAGCAAAACACTTTAAAAATGTTTGTGAATTAAAATTAAATTAAGATTATAAACATATCATTTTAGTTTACTATTAAATCATATTTCTGTCACCAGAACGAGGCCTCGCTAAACTATTGTAAAATGTAAAAATCTTGTGTATTTATTACAAAAATAAGGCTATATAAAATTTCTCATATTAAAAACCTCAACATCTTTATTTAAGCCTTCAAAAAAGACGTGGGAAACTCACAGTGTTAATATGCAAATAAGAAAGAAATAATTAATATTTGTAGTCTGAATATTAGCCAAGTGTATCAGAGTTTTCTTTAGGCTTTTTCACCCATTTTTCTCTCGTTTTTTCACCCCATTTTTACTATACATATAGCTTTGGCTTTCAGTTCAGTGAGAGTTACAGCAAAAAAATAAAAACCCACGCAAGTTGGCTACATTTTCGCATTGAAAGCGGGCTCTGGGGCCCTGTCATTACCATTCGCACACTCATCCTGACTTCTCCGCTGAATATATCGTTTGAATGCCACTAATTGTTGTTGTCGACGACCAATATATAGATAGTCAGATAGATAAACACGAAAAATAGCAAAAAGCCGAGGTAGAAAAGAACGCAAAATAAATTACAGGTGAAAATATTTGTCATCGGTTTGAACTTAGTGACTAAGTCGATATGGGGCGTGGTTTTTAGCCCCTTAGTCACTTTATATGGAACTTTGTGGAGCAACGACACTCTGACACTGACCTAGTAAATTTTGAAGCTTTGAAGCAAGAAAAGCAAAATAGAAGCAATTTTCCATGCTCCATTAAGGTGCGAAGGTGGCGAAATGCATTTTGATAAGGCAATTTCGCAAAAAGCGTTGATAAGAGATAAGAGAAACAACCGAAAATAAGTCAGCAACCAAAACAAAAGACCGTAAATATATATAAACACTAAATGCTATTTGGCAAGAATGAGCGAGTCATGAATTCAAAGAATTTCCGTGAAAAATAACAAAGAAACCAAGACAAGATGAGATTGAATAAATAAATACAATAATTAAGAATACTATCCTTTATAGAAAGTATTTGAAAATGTGGGATCATGAATCTTTTGAATACATAGATAATTGGACTTGCATTGAAATACTACCCAGTTTGAGTTTTTTTTAGAGCAAACATATTTAAGTGCCTCAATATCAGGCATTGAATGAGTTGTGTTAACAATGGCCAGATAATTGTTGTTAGTGCAACAAGGCTATATGTTAACAATGGCAACTCGCTTCAATTTAATTCAATTGAATTAGTTAGCTCTAGAAATAAATATGTATGTATAGTATAGAGATGAGCTGAAGGTTTTTTTACATCAAGTGTGGGTTTTAATTGTAGCCTCCCTCTATTTATCTATTTGTATCATTAATTAATTTATAAATTAATTAATTACTTACATTTTGCAAAGTCTGCTTCACTCCATATCATATATATAAAGCTGATTGATTTCCAAGTATACAGGCAAAACCTAAAATACCAAAATTACACAATTGATGACATTTCTGTTTAATAATAAAAAAACCAAACATTGAACTTACTTTTATGACCAAGAAATGCACTTTCCTTTGAGGCTTTTGAACCATCATTCCGTTGTGAGCACCATAAAAATAAGGCAGTTGTAAAATTTGGACACAGCCACTTCCTTTGGGCCTACGCAGCGTATACTTGATATGTGGACTTGATGCGTATACTTGATATGCGAAGTTAATTATTGCCAATTATTTGACTTTAATTGGCTGCTGGTCGTTCTCCTTGTGCCACTGTCTTGGCGATAGTTCGTTGAACTTGAGTCGCGATAATGCCATAATAATACCAATCGATCGGTTGTGCGTTAGCTTCAAGTTTGAAGCGACAGGTGCAAAAGTGCACAGGTGGGCTCGATGGGTGTGGGTTGGCCTAATCGGACGCTTCCTTCTCGAATGCATTTCATTGACGCATCGCATTGTGAATGGGCTGTGGAGCGTGTAACGAAATGCGAATTCAGCTAATTACAAATGCATCCACAGCGAGGGGAGTTTCTAGAGTAAATAAAGAAAAATAATATATAAGTTTGTAGAGTAAATAAATCATAAATACATTTAATGTATTAAATGTATTTAAATGTATTTAAATGAATACAAATCAATTTAAAATGGATAATTTATACATATAAACGTTTCTGCTTTACTATATGTATACGTATACGTAATATTTCTTCAAGTTTCTGCTTTAATATTTGCATACGTATACTTAATTTCTCTTAAATATTTTCCTATTTAAATGTATACAACTAAATTTAAAACAGCAATTCAATACATAATATATATTAAAGTTTCTGTATGAATATTACGTATACGTAATATTTTTTCAAGTTTCTGCTTTAATATTTGTATACGTATACTTAATATATCTTAAATAAATAAAGTAAAATATGTAGAATTCCTAATTAAGTTTATACAACTAAATTTAAAACAGAGAAATAATTCAAAATATATATACAAGTTTTTGCCTAAATATTTGCATACGTATACTTAATATATATTCAAGTTTCTTCTTAAATGTATACTTAATTTCCCTTAAATACCTTCCTATTTAAATATATACAACTAAATTCAAAACAGCAATTCAATACATAATATATATTAATGTTTCTGCAGGAATATTACGTATACGTAATATTTTTTCAAGTTTCTGCTTTGATATTTTCATACGCTTACTTAATATATCTTCAATAAATAATAAAATATATAATAATTCCTGTGTAAATGTGTACAACTTATTTAAAACATAAATATAATGCATAATATATGTTTGAATATTTGCATACGTATACGTAATATTTCTTCAAGTAATACCACTAAATTTAGAACAGAAAAATAATATATAATGTATATTAAAGTTTCTGTTTCAATATTACGTATACGTAATATTTCTTCAAGTTTCTGCTTTAATATATCTAAAATTAATAAAAAATATAAAATATTTCTTATTTAAATGTATACAACTAAATTTAAAACAGCAATTCAATACATAATATATATTAAAGTTTCTGCATGAATATTACGTATACGTAATATTTTTTCAAGTTTCTGCTTTAGTATATACTTAATATTTCTTAAATAAATATATAATAATTCTTATTCAAATGTATATAGAGAAACTCAAAACAGAGAAATAATACATTATATATATAAAAGTTTCAGTTTGAATATTTGCATACGTATACGTAATATTTCTTTAAGTTTCTTTTCGCAAATTTGCGGATATTTTGCCGCCAACTTTTTCCATTTTATAAACTTAAAATAATAAATCTCTCCAACCCTTCTCCTATGCTAATCTTCATGAAAGGCAATTTTATGTTTACCTTGCCATAAAAAAAATCTAGAAACCCCACCCATTTCAAGTTCAACCCACCCAAAGTAGAGGAACGTCGCAATTTGTTTAGCTTATTTATAGCCGCAGCTTGCTCTAATTGTCTCACAACCTGCTACGACTTTAATTTAGAAATGTAGAACTCTCCCTGTTCTGTTTTTTAAGAGTTAAACAGCAGCAGGTTTCCAAGTTGTTTTTTTTTTTTTAATTCATTTTAGCAACACTCAAGACCTTGGCCAGTTTTATTCCAGTTCTTGGGCAAGAGACTCATCCGACTTGTTGCCGGTTAACTTGTGTGGCAACCTCCTCGAATATCCGCCAGCTTGGTTCCGCATTCAGCCAGTTTTCATTTTTTTTCTGTTTCGTTTCGAAGGAAGGGGAATCCAATTTAGGCTTTGGTTTTCCATTTAGCCATTGCTTAAGCCACTCATTTTTTCAGAGGGCCATCGGAAGTGCAGTGTATTTAATCATTGTTTTTTCTTTCGCTAGACTCTGACTGGTTGGACTTGTTCTACGTTTTAACATGTGGACTTTCTTCTTTCGGCAATCGCCTCACAGAATCGTGTTTTTCTGGCTGCTGGCTGGCCCACTTTGTACACTCGATACTCAGAGCCAGAGTGTAGGTACATCTACACACATTCATTTATGTGTGTGCAGCCAATGGGGCGTATGCGCAATGCCGGTGTAGCAATTGTCGGTGATTTGCTTGTACGATCAAAGCACTTGCAATGCACAACGAGAAATAGGAGATCTTGGAATATGTATTTAATTAATTATATAGAAGATAATACTATTGCTAAACTTGGGGTAAAAAAAAGTTATAATATATAATTACATTATTACTAATGTTGAAAAGTGAAGGGAAATGTAAGGAACATTCAAAGCAATGAGAAAGAATAACAGAATCTTAATTATAAATCTTGACAAGATTCATTTTAATGTATCTGTTATTGAATAATATTATCTTATCAATATATATATATATATTAATTCCATTTCAATATCGCTTTTGCCAGTGCAAAAATTTGTTGTATTATTTACTGTCATTACCAGCTACTTAGTTCAATGGTTTTATCTACAGACATTGACTTGGCGGCTTCGGTCATGTATCTATATATAGAGACAGTAATGTAGACCCGGTGCATTAACGCGCCTTGAATCATCCTCACCTGGAACTAGCCACCTTGTTTTTTCCCTCTTTTCTGTATATTTTATATACATTTCCCCCAACTGCCGGAAGTTGGCAAAGCCATAGTTTTTTCGTACGGGTCATATATGGGCATACCGTCACGTAGTTAATAGAAAGTGGACAGGCCCAAAACCCAAAACAAACCATCCCATTTCACCATTTCTAAGTTTATGCCATCTCTATGTGTGTGGAATTGTATACACTTGCGGTCAAATTAATGGCACTGCGAATCAACGTAGAAATTTCGCCTTAAAGGTGATTAACTTAAATCTGAAAAAACTAATTGTAGACGTAATAAAAAGTGTATGCTTTGCTATTTTGGGCTTTTCTATCAATGATCATCTATGCTTTTCGTTTTTTAAGAGGTTAATTAAAGTATGTGAGTTAGGGTTGAGAAAGATTTAAGAAAATTAATAGGTAATTTACAGGTTCTGTAACTTATAGAGCAGACCAGGACCTCATTAATTTCAATCCTCTTGATTTGTATTTTATTCATTTTTAAAGTATATTCAATATTTTATTATAAATCATTACGCAATAGCTTTTGTTCTTGTTGTTATTCTTGAGTGCTACCATTCATCGCATATTTTGGGAAATTGATTCATTATAAAACATTTCATTGGATCAGGTTTGTGTTTAGATTTAAGTAGCATTACGATTAGATAATACCCTAACATTATTATAACAATTACCCCATCGCGCACAAGCCCCGTCCTCATTTGCCTTACCCTGCCTCCTTCCCTCTGTGTGTCTATATCTATTTCTACCTATAACTATATATATCATATATATAAATCTCTCTCTCTGGGAGAAAAGCTGGCTAATGCCCGATCCTATGGAGTGCTGAAGAGTCTGCGGTGTTCGGCGCGTTATGCCAAGGCCAAGTCCAAGTCGGCCATTAATCTGAATGCACACCTGAAGAAACAGCAGAAGCTAGAAGCCCAGGAAGCGGAGTCCGAGAAGAATCTGAATCTTAATCAGAATCAAAATCAGCGGAAGAATCAAAGTGAGAACGGGGAAAGGAACGGTAACGGAAGGAGAAGGCTTCGACAGAGTGTGAGCGAGGATCAACCGATCTATGTCAACTTGGACGAGGTGCATCCAATCGAACTGAATCTTGGGACCGAAGACGATGCACTAATGGGTAATGCTCAGGTAAGATTGACAGCTCTCCGGCTCCATCAGCATCCCACACATCCAACGATCCACGAAACAAGACCGAACTAAACAGATCCCATATATATATATTTACTATATGTATATATGAATGATCGGTGACATCAACCCATTGGAGCGTTTAACTCATTTGTTTAGCAACACAATTGAGATCTGCCATCGAAATTAAATTTATTATGTGTCTGCCCCCTGCCGCCCCCATAACCCCCTCGATATATCGGTGTGAATTGATTGCGATTGTTAAACCCGTTTCACTGACGGTATTTAGCAGTCAAGTGCAAGTTGTATGTAAATAAAAAAAAGGCAAATAAAAAAAACAAAATATCTAGAAAGATAGCTATACAGGTAACGAGTACTAAGTAAAGGCAAAGCAAAAAAGTCCAAGGCAAAACAGAAGCCGAAATACTCGACACAATTGAGTATTTGAAACTAAAAAACAAACACACTTGCCAATTTAAAAGCTTAAATAAACAGTCTTGACTTTTGAAAGGAATCTCTTGTTAACAGAGTATTCTAGAAAGTGACTCTTAAAAAAACAACAATAATAATTTAAATATAGGGAAATTTGCTGTTTAAATCATTCATAACTAAGCCAAATATGCGTTAATTTCAATTCGGAAATCTTCCCAATGTTAGTTTTTGTTAGGTTAACAAATCTGCTTACTCAATTTAAAATTTTACAAAATTCGATTTTTTGTCCATTTTTTTAAATTTTGATGATGTAACCCCTTATAAAATTTAAAAAAAATGGCCAAAAAAATTTTTATTTTTCTACATGCCTAGAAAGATTCGCCTGTTGATGCTGATCAATAATATATATGGATTATAGGGTCGGAAATGATTCCTTCACCAAGTTTCAAGCTTCTGACTAAAATGCAAGGGAATATATCAATTTAATCGAAGATATGTTAAAAAATATATTTAAATCACTTTTTTCGAAAGCAAAATAACGATTTATCTTTTCTTAATATAGTGCAATGTTAAATTAATTTATACAACAAAGTTAGATTCAAATAAAGATGCAACATAAACATTTTCCCTCATTTCTAAAACTTGTGATATAAATATAATTCAATATTAATGTATTTTGTGTAAAAAACAATCCCCTATTCAGTTCAAATAAAATCCTCTATATTTAGATTTACAGACTTAATTTTTTTAGATTTAAATCTAGGCATTATACATGAAAAAAGTGAAAATTAAAAGATATATTCGTATTTTCAATAAAATTCTACTGAAATCACCTGGTAAGAAACTTGTCTACGTCAAAAGGCAGGTGTAAAACCAACAGCTGCTTGTACATTGGTTTTGGTATTGACTAAATCGGTGTAGATATAGTAAGCTCTGACTTCTCAGATACTTCGCTCTTCGGTGCCGGTTTTAAGACCTATTACTTTAGTTATTTCCAAAGGTATTGGCTGCTCCATCTAATTTCAGTCACTCATTAACAAAAATTCAACTTATTAGTCTCTAATTTGTACCTAAAATCAAAATCCATATTTGTTTCCTTTACAGGTAAGCTGATTTCAAAAGGGTTTAACAAGTATCTTTGCACCTTCGCCTAATGACCACAGACAACAACGACAATGACAAGTAAGTTTCAGTTTTACAATAGTTTGTCTATGCAGCTATTGCAACTCCACAAGATGCATCTCATAAATGTCACAACACGGGTTAATTTACATTTTTCAAACGCCAAAAAAATTACAGAAAAACAAGATACGAGATACAAGATACAAGATACTTGGTGCCGGCGAGGAAAACCCGTAGTACGGGTTTTAATGCCGGCGAATGTCGGTCAAGCGGCAAGTGCAGCATCGGCTGCTTAGCGCCCCGTTCGTGTCGTGTGAACGGTTTCCAGCGATTCCGATTCCTATTCCGATTATAATCACCACATCACATCACCCAGGCTGCATAAATCGCATGCCCATGGTTATGGTTATGCAACCGGGATCCGGAGATCCGAAGATCCAACGATCCAGCGATCCAGCAATCCGGCGACCATAATACCGGTACTTGTCAACGGCAGTCAGCGTCGCCGTCTCCTCACTCAGCACGTGCATCTAGCTATTTAGCTGCTTAAATTTATTGTATCACTCTGCAGATGAAGCCAATGGTGCACAGTGGAGCAAATACGTATGAAAAGTGATACCACCAAAATCAGCTAAGCAAGATAAATTGCAACGAAAATGAAAGCTATCTTTGGCAAGTCAAAGCAGAAAAAATGTTTGGGTAATTTTGAAAACAAATTAAATAAAATGTTTGTTTTTAACAGACATGGCTATATCGACTAGGCTATTAATGCAATTTGAGAGAAGTTTATAGTATGGAAAATGACTTTCTTACTGCATTGCAACCTTCTGACTAAACTTATAAGTCCCTGCAGGGGTATACAATTATGGATCATGCTAAAAAGTATCTCAAAGATACCGAAAATGGAAAAGAATATGGACATACAGATACTATTGCAAAATAGATAATTAAAGCAAAGAATACCAATTGCTGATATTTTGAATTCATCAAGAAATATCTTTAAGAAGTCAATGGAAATTACACATAAACATCTTATACTTATACAATAACACAGGTACAAACTGTCCGATACACAAAAAAGGATTCATTTAGGTTTAAACATTTTAGATTCCCAAATTAATTTATGGAATATAAATACTAATAAATCGTATATATAACATACAAATTTATTTACATTTGTAATGGATGCAAACCCATTAAACCCATGCAAGATCTTTATGCTTTCCTCTGTTTTTCCTTCTCTTTTGCCAATTAACAATTAAGTATTTAGTTAATTAATTAAGCCGCTGATCGATCAAGGCCCACTGTGCAACGGTACATTGGCAGGCCAATCAGTGAGTACCGTACCGCTTTGCATGCTGTGCAGACGTCGCGACGGCTGCGCCAGTACCGTAATGACGTCGCCGTCTACGTCGGCATCTGCGTCTGCGTCATCGCAGCGATCCCATTCAAATATTTGGCCTACGCGTTGTTGTCCACAATAATAATAAAAAAAAACTAAAAACCAAAATGAAAACAAAAACAAAACAGCAGGAGAGAGAAGAGAGCCAGAACAGGTGCAGCGCAGCATCCAGGAAGATGCTAAGCGGCAGAGCTCAGCTCTCCTGCTTCGGCGCAGCCAGCGATGCACTGCTGCGCATGCTCCGAGCGCTCTTTCTTGCCATCTCTTTTACTCTTGCAGTCTGCTCCCCATTGCATCTGCATTCTTTACTACTGCTCTTTATCTCTACCTCTGCCATGCGCCTGCTGCACTGCATTGCACAGTGGGGTTGATATTCATTTCTCTGGGTAAAGAAGTGACCTTTAGTTTGCATAGATACAAATTACATTCACAAATTCATTAATTTTAATATTTAATTATAGATTGTATATAAATTAGCCAATATTTTGCAAAGTGAAGCGTTAATAATATTATTATTATGACCTAAAGAAAAATAACTCATTGAAATAAGAAAATTATTCGTTATTAAAATAAAAATAAATAAAGACCTAACCAAAATATTCTCATTAAATAATGAATTTTAAGTTATATTTGCAATGTAAACTGTTTTAATTTGTCTCCTTAAAATGTTATATTTTTCAGTAATTTTCTTAAATATTAAAATAAAAATTATTATTATATTATATTTTGTAAATTCAAAATGATCCCTATTTTAAATTTTCATTAAAATTTAAGATTATTCCTTTTAAAAAATTTCTAAAAATACTTTACACCATTTTTTGTGTTCAAAAAATAATATAATGTATATCATATTAATTTTATATTTCTGTGTATCCAATTTTAAAATCAACCCCACTGTGCTCTGCTGCTGCCGCAGCAGACAGCCTCTGTCGACGTTGGCGCTCTGCGTTCTGGCAGAGCTCCCACCGGCGGCACTTCAGTCTGCTGCCGCGCGTTGTGCCCCGTCGACGTCGCTGTTTTGATCCGTTCTAAATTTAGTCGCCGACGCCGACGTCGCGCGTTGTTGTAAATGTCGCCGCTGCCGCCGTAGACAAATAACAACAATAACAATAACGATAATAATAATAATAACAATATTTGTACTCATCATTTGAGTTTAACTTATTTTTGGTAAACTTTTGCACTAGTTCTAGCATCTATACATATATCTATGTATATTTGTGTATATATTTTGTTGTTTGCATAACCGCAATACGAAATATCTAATTGTTTTTTTCTTTTTTCTGAGTGTGCGTGTGTGAAACGTGCGAAATAACAACAACAATATAATGCAGTGAATTAGGTTTTTGTTTTTTTGATTGATTTCATTTGAAATTGAATGAGAATTATTTTCGTGTGACTTTTTAAATCCCTACCGTGAAATATTAAAAATGGAGCGATAAAAACAATCAAGTATTCACTCGTTTTTCAGATCGATCAATTTGGAATAAAGGATAGAAGTTGAGTTTTCTAGAAAACGTGGAAAAGATTTTTCGAAAACAGGTTCAAGGGATTTTTTTAATTGTTAAAAAGTATTTCAAGTTTGAGGTTTGTTGATAATGTCTTGGAAGTATGTACAGAAATCACTGGGTCTTAAAATCTTTTAAAGGAATCTCGAATTTATGGTGGAAAACATAAAGTTCAGGATAGACAGGCACGATGAATCTCTATTTCTCTTTTTGTATCTATTAAAATACAAAGTAAATACAAGAAAAACAAAATAATATTCAATTTAAATTAACTGAGAATTTGAAAACAGCGCTGAATAATTTTTGGAGCAACTGCTGCCAGTCTTAGCCACCCCCTGCAGTGGTTTTCTATTTTTCGTATTTCGATTCTGCATCTGCGAGATACAAAACTGACGCAAATGCATCGTGTAGATATATATATATCTATGTTGTATATATCTCGGGTGTGTGTGTGTGTTTTTGTATTTTTTTCGAGCAAATCAAATAGTGTCTTTGGCGGGGGCCTTTATAGTTGGTGCTATCTACACGCCGACCTTGTTGTCTCCTGTCGCTTCCAAAAATGAGCTCAAGTTTGTGCGCCGCCATGACAAATGACAAACGCATCTGTCAGATGCGCTAAAACGATGTTTCTTCAGCTGCAATTATATATGGGCGGATTTTGCGTTGGCAACACAGACTTCCATGAAATGAACTAAATAACCAAAACACAGTCTAAACAACTTTGAAAATGTGCCAATTATTTTTGTACAATTCCCAAATAGAACACAATAAAAACCATAGCTGATGATGATGATGTCTACACGCATCTACATAGATATAGTCTGTATATATCCCCCAGAAAAGAAATATATATGTATATATTTATAGATATTATGTGATCTTTACATGACCGTTTGTTCGCTTTTGATGGTGCGAGTTCTTTTGGTTTAGCTAGCGATTAGCATAATTATTTATGGCCCAGCAATTGTTGGAGGCTTTTGGCAGAACCTTATTGTTAAATATCGATAAACCGTTACGATTCGATATCTTTTGGGACAGTGAAGACTACCAGAAAGTGATCTAAGAGGTTATAGATACTTACAAATATTCAAATTCAAAGATAGATTCATTATTTTTAACAATTTATGCAAAATAAACAAAGTGAATGTAAAATTTTTGAAAAATCGGTCAAATTAGTATAGAATCTGCATATTCTGAGCTCAAAATAAAATATATTTTAAACGAAATTACTTATGATTAATTTGTTAATATTTTTAACATATCTTTTAAACAAAATTAGAGATGTTTATACGTTCTAAAGGTTTTTTAAACCATTTCAATTTGAAAGAAGACTTTAAATACTTAATTTTTTGAGTTACATCACAATTTAAATATATATATCGAAGCTTCACCGTAATTCTATATAGTTAATTAGGCACACTCACAATTCAACGGACTAAAAAAGACACACACAATGATGAAAAAACAAAGCGTAAGCCCCAAAATGACCGAATGTCGAATAAAAATAAATGCAGCCGCTTTTTTAGACGCGTCTTCTCTCTTCTGCTCTTTCTTCTCGCCCTTTTCAAGAAGAATTTCAAACGCATTTCTAACAAGATTGACGGGCGCTAAGAGCCCCACTAAGAGTGACAGAGACGGGCCCATTCTGCGTCTTCGTCTAACGGCATTCGGCAGAAGAATTGAGGCGAAAAAATAGAAACTAAAGAAAAATTTAAAAAATAAAATAAAAGCTTTTTGAGCTCTCGTGTCGTGTCCCACTGTCACTTGCTGCCTGCTGCAGCATTGCATGTCAATGACATTTAGGGAAAAAGAATTGATTGAGGCGGTGCCATGCCATGGGTTAATTGCGTTAACCCCTTGACACCCACATGAACCGAGTGCAGCAGCAGTAGTACAAGCTCTGCTCGCTTTTCAAATTACTAATTTAAAGTAAACTTCTAACTTGTGAGGGGGAGGGTTCTCTCAATTAACACTAATCACAGAAACTTTGACTTCTGCACGACACTCTCGGACTTTGGCCATTTTAATTAATGTCATGGATATAGTAGTGCTTAAATAATGAAAACTAAATACTTGGAGTTTTACATTGCTTAAAATAATTTATAAATCAATTGTTAAACAACAGTAGCCTTAAAACAAGAACGGAAAATAACTTCGGGAAGCCGAAGTTTATATATCTTTGCAGTTGCAATTGAAATTTAGGATCTTATAGGAAATTAATCATAACTACGCTTAAAAAATTCCTATTTTTTGAATGGATATTTATAAATTTTCTGGACAAATCAAATAGTAAAAAGTTTATAACTCAGCCAAAAAAGCACTAATTTTAATTCGGAAAGAATTTCTAAGCTAGTTTTTGCTAGATTAAAACCCCTACATACTCAGTTTAAAATGTAAATTTTTGCCCATTTTTTTGAAATTTTAACGATGTAACCCCTTATAAAATTTAAAAAAATTACATTTTTTGAAAATTTCTTTTCTTGGCCAGAGTTAGCTAGATAGATTTACATGTTGATGCTGATCAATAATATATATAGTTTATAGGGTCGGAAATGAGTATTTCAATGGATTTCAATCTTCTGAAGGGTATAGAAATATCGTTTTTTAAATGACTTCAGTTATGAGTATCTATAATGAAAATATTGCGTATTCGTGTGTTTCTTTAAGGTATCAAAGTATCTAAAACTATTAAAGATTATTTTAAAATGAGATATGTTTGTGGAGATTAGTTTTGGAAGTATTAATGTAGTAAACGTTAAGATTGTTTATGTAAGGTTAATTTAAAAGGCACGTTTTTCTTTTTTTATAAAGCACTGCAACCTCCGCAAATCTGTACAAAAAAATCGCCAGCTTTAAAACACAAAATATAAAGACACGTGTTGTTTAGTATTATAACTACAGACACTCTAAAACAATATTTAAAGTAAATACCTTTACTAATTAGCAAGAGTATAAACGAATAAGTATACGTGCCGCAAAGATAGTTTCTTGTTGCCATTACTTTTGTTGTTTCTATCTTAACTACTTAAACCAGTTGTAGATACTTTTTGTAGATTATGCTATGGCATGAAAGAAGGGTTTTCATATACCACCTCACTCTCCCTAAAAATAACGATTACAAAGCAGCTTTTTCCAGAAAGATTTCTAAAAGATCTCCCAAAGATATCCCCAAGATTTGGTGGTCTTCGCCAAACATCCTTATCGTTCATTGTAATCCGTTTATCTTACAGATACCCGCAGCTATCTGCACCTGTATCTGAGATATTTCATTTCGCATTCAATGAAATCATCCCAACACCTAGCCGAACGTGACCTACCCGAGTCAGGTGGTCGGTCGGTCGGTTGTCAGGGGGGAAAAAAGAGATTAGAGGGCAAACAAACAGACAGATAGATAGACATATGAACTCGTAAAAAACAGTCTTGGCCATTGAAATGGTATTTGAGAAATGCGGGGAAAGGCAAACACACTGAGCGATTCGCCATTGAATGCCTCATTAAGAGAATTATTTTTGCATTCGGGTCTCAGACCCTGCGCATTTGGCGCAACATCTCGCGATAAGTTGTGAAAATATTTGCGTAAGTGAAACAGAAAGCGTCGACATACAGACACGAGCAGCACTGTTTATAAGGTGTTTTTCCTTCTTTTTTATTTTTTTAAATTTTGTATTTGGTGAGTTTTATTTCTGCTGGTCTGCCTTATTTTCATTCTCTATTTTTGGGATCGAAAGATCAACCGATCGCACACGAGGCGAAGTGCAAAGGCCAGGAAAATCTATTTAGCTTTTCTTTCGTTTTCTCACTTGTTTCGGTTTTCCCTCCCTTTTCTTTTTTTGGCAAGAACACGCTTTTCGTTTTGTTTATTGTTCTAGACATTAAATGAGATAAATGCGCATCATAAACTACTGGCGGATCCAGTGTTGGAATAAGATTAATCCCAAGTAAATAGTCGCATAACAACGCGAAAGATTCCCAGATACTTTTGCCCCATCCTAGAGATACATAGATACTAGATACTTTACTCCAGAGCACGATCGGTACGGCGTAAGGGATATTCAGGTTTTTTTATTCCTTCTTTTCATGTGAAAACGAAACTCATTATGTTCTATATGCCATAGCTGGGTGTTCGGACGACTTTCGCACTTTTTGTTTATGGGAATCAATTTCTATATATAAGGCACACTTCAGTGTCAGGCATTGATAGGTACAATTGTACATAGGCACCTATATACTTTGGATTCTAAGGGGAGGCTCAGCTGAACACTAAGAGAAATCTATCGTTTACAAATCTGATTAAATTAATAAAATTATTATTGTAAAAAAAAATTATTTATTTAGAAATACCAAAATTAAAAAGCTATCAAAAGTTCTTTAATAGTTTCTTAACATTTGTAGTTTATGCTCAATAATTATTTTTCCAATAACAGTTGTACCAATTAAATAGAAATTACTCATACCCTATAAATTTAATTTCTTTAAGTGCACCTCCTGACTTAAATTGATATAAAAACTGAAGTCGAACAGAACAATAAATCAGTTGAGCGCCGATAAGCATCCAAAGAAAATCGCAGATCGGGAGTGAAAAAAAAACTAAATTAGAAAAGAATTAAGTTCAATAAAGGGACAAGAAAAATAAAGATAAAAAATGAAAATAAGTGAACGTAGAATATTCAAGAGAACTGGCAAAATAGATCTAACTAAGGTATAAAAAGATATATCCTTTAAGGACCGACCTTGGACTGTGATCCATTGGCCTTACAGGAGTTCGGTGTGCCACCAATTATGGCCACTCATTGGCATTTTGTGCGATTAATTCCTTTTATTAATCATAAATTGCCATAAGAAGAGATGGAGCACAAAAACCTGGGGAAACCGAGGATCAGGGGGAACGGGGCATCAATTGTCGGATGGCTGCAATTGCCACAGTTGTTGGCAACTCTATTTATAGAGATCGCTCTCGGACCCACGGGCGGGTAGTCCTTTCGATTCAATCCCGATCTTGAAACCATCTTTCCCACCTTCCCCACTGCTCATCTTCGTGGGTCTTGCCTTTTATATACGTATGTATGATCCACCGTCCGTCTGGCCATAATTTATGTTATTTGACTTTTAAACCTGGAACGCGAAGTTGGCAGAAGGCTGGCCATAATTGCAGGTTCCTCTTGGTTTGTTTTGCGCCTCTGCCCTACCCCTTTTTTCGATGTTCCATATCATGCAGTTGAAATAAAGTTGTGAAAATTAAAAAAAAAATCAATTTAAACCCAGAGAAATATTTAAGTTTTTAAGACAAGTGTTTCAAGTGTTTCAAGAGTATGTCTAGTGGTTTTTGTATTATTTTTGCTGTTTAATTAAACGAATATGAAGCTCAGATAACTGTAATAAGATTGATTAAATAAACAGAACTTTTTTTAGACGGTTAGCAACTAAAAGTTTATATATAATCATTTTATATAAACAATTATGAGAAAATTCAGCTCAATATTATTCGTTACAGAAAAATGTCCAGTGAAAATTCTAGGGGAAAGCTATAAAAATTTTTCTTTTTAAAAGTTTAAATTGGAGGAAAAAGATTTAACTTAAGACTTTTAAGTCATGCATTGAATATTAAAATTTTCCAAGTAATTGTTATTAATTAGTATTTTATATAAGAATTATCTGATAACACTAACATTAAAGCAACATTTTTAATTAGCATTTCCAAATCAAGTCAGTTGGGATTTTCACCCACACAAAAGGATGCGGCCATCACTACTTTTTCCTAGTTTCCTTTTCCGGTACAGTGTATGCACTGCTTGACAACTGCTTTCTGAACTGCTTGGGCGGTTTTTAAGCTAAGCTCGCTCATTAGTTGAATTGTCTTTTGACTTGTCACACACTCCACTTTATCGCACTCCACTTGCTTCCCCAGAAACGTGACATATCGCAGACAGAGTGATTAACCCCTTGTGCCCCCCGCAATGCCTTTTGTGTTTATCCGCCTGTTTTGCTTAACCCGGCTTCGCCCCTACTGCCTGTTTTGCATCTTCTTTTTGCCAAGTCTGCCTCTTCGATGCAAATGCTATTAGCCGTAACAACAAACAAGTGCAAAATGTAATTAAATTGTTTTACTTACTACGGTTTCGCAGGTCGGCCATTTGAATCGGGAAAACTGTAACAAAGGCAACCCAGATATCTACAAACATAAACAAAAGCTCTCGTTAGTACAGTGATCACTTGATAATAGAGAACAGAAGAGAATAGAATAGAATAATTAAAAAGAATATAAAATGAAACTGTAGTGTACACATATATAAACTTATATTTAAATGAATATTTATATATCCTATATTAGTTATTCAAAAGTCAAAGAATATATTTGAGGAATCACTCTAATCACAGGAGTGTTCACTGTAGAATACAGCCATACATACCTATTATACTGGTACATCTGTAGAGACTTGGCACGAAGCTTACATCACATTACAGTTATAACAACAACTGCCGCCTAATGAGCTCCGCTGATCGTCGCCTGTACCCGAGTTCTCTCCATATTCCCTCTCCAACTTCGCCTCCTCCTCCTCCTCCTCTCCGCTCTCTGCTCCACTCTGCAATGCAATTGTAACAACAGAAATTCGAGTTTAGCCATACACTTGTATATATATACATATTTATGCACATTTGCAATTAGAAAAAAATATGATTTGCCCAGGGAAAAATAAAAACAATTTGCATTTCATTCGGGCGGCGTAAATGAAATGGGGAACTGGCTTAACTCGAAAGTAAATAGTTCATAAATAAATGATTTATATAATTAACCACATGGAATGGCGAAAAGTGCAAAAGAAGAGGAGCAGCAGCAGAATATTCAAGCGGAGAAAAGCTCACAGTGAAGAGGGAATAATTGAGGGCAAAAATATAGCAATCGCTATTAAATAATTCTTAAAATTGGGATATGTTAAGTAGGAACTGATTGATTTTTAAGGGTAAACAGAAAATTTAATTATCTATTTGTAGAAATTCTTTTTTTATATGTATATGGTTCTAAAATGTTGACCGGTAGTATACAACTAAAGTGGGTAAAGAATAAAAGCTCACCTGCAGCTCACGTGACTTTTATCACCTCTGCTGACGCTCTGCCGCTCACACACTCACACGTGAAGATCTGTCTTAATCCAACAACGCATTATTACACTTTTACTATTGACTGCATATTGAACATATAGCCACACTTGATCGGCCAGATATAAAACAGAAACGAAGTCGATGGGGGCACCACAGGCGGCGACTTTTCATTATTTTTTTCTGTGTGCAGGGGCCAACGCAGCGATTTATGTGTCGGCTTCCTACTTCTCACACCGGCCTTCTGTCACTGAGCACACCTCTTTAATGCTCCCGCTCCCTCTTTGACTCTTTGCATTTGCTGCTGCTCGCCGCCCTTCTGTGTCTGAGCACATCTCTTTACTGCTCTCGCTCCCCCTTTGAGTCGTTGCATTTGCTGCGGCTCAATAAACAGGCCGAACCGTTTTGTAATCTCTACCTGCAGCCAAAGTGGAGCACAGAGGGGGGGACGAAACGAAGGTAGAGAGGGAGAAGCAGGGGTCACCGCAAGGCAATACAAGCGGGAGAGCATGACCGAAGGTGGAGACCCTGGACTCCTCTCTTCACCTGATTCTTTGCGCCTTTCTTAAGTCGTCCCCTGCTCTTTACTCATACCCTTTCTACCTTCTCTTTGTTCTGTATGTGGTTGTTTTCTTTGCCTCTTATGTATATTTGTATGTACTTATGTAGGTGAACATCGGCCTAGGGTTACTTAGCGCAGGGTATTAAATGGGGAAAAGGGTATTTGGTATGCGGGCTTACCTTGTAATGAGAAAGGGGCTCCCAATGGAATTTAGGTTATCTTCGAGGCGGTGGTAAGAGTAATATGTATGTGTCCAAGCAAATCAATTAATTATGTTCGGAAAAACAAGTTAAAGGATAAATAACTATGCTTTAAATAACTCCAGTCTAATCAGAGATCACAAAAACAATAAACACAGACTTTTAAATGGATAGAAAAATTTGCACGTGATGCAAATGACTTCTTATCTCAAACTAGCAAGAGTAGGAATTCTAATTGAGTGAAACAAAAAAGCACGAGAACTTTCCCATCAGCACACATCACTCATACGTCGAGTCTCCTCTCCTCTCCTCTCTTCTCTCACTTGAGCGCTTCTCTCTTGTCGGCAAGAGGAACCATTGTTTGCTTTCCTTTTCACCCTCGCTGCACTCAATTGCAGGCGAGAGGGAAAGATAAAGAAAGAACACACGCACTTTCACACACGCACAGAAAGAACTTGGGTGTAAATTACCGATTTTGTAATATTTTTTCTGTGTCATATATCGAACAGCATTCAACGATGAACCACCTGCGGGTGAATAAATTCAGGCTGGTCAGCGGCAAAGATAGTGCCGCCATGCCGGCCGATCTGCCACAACCGGATAATGCCAATACAAACAATAACAATAATAATAACAATAATAATACCAACGCCAATAATAACAACGGTAATAGTGGAGCCAAGGGATTTCTTGGCAGAATCAAACGGTATTCGGTACTGGGGCGTCGCCATCTGGGCAGCATGAATCTGCACACGGGCAGAGATCATCATCAGCAGCATAATCAGCATAACGCTGGCGGAGATCACTTGGTGGCGCCAGGTAAACTGCATCATGGCAGCTACAACATGACCGGCAGCCATTCGGAGGATCATCGCCTGGAGATCGGAGCACCTGTGTTGATATCGACAACCACCTTGGACACGGATCGCTTCGATGTGACCGAGGCAAGGCTGAAGCAGATTGGCGGCGGCATTGCCCAGACATCCAGCATTGTTCGCACTCTCACGCCCAAGAGTTCGGATGAGGATGAGTTTGTGGACGCCAGGAGCACGCCACAGCAGATGGAGGGGATGGATCGTGACCAGGATGAACTGGATCTAGAACAGGATGGTATTCATTTGGAGGATGTGAAGACAGCTGGTGATATGAATAAGGAAAGGAAAATAGATATAGCCGGGTGTCTCGTCGAAGATATCGAGGAGGATCAGGATCAAGATCAATTCCAAACCCCCAAGCATCATCCTGCTGACCCTTATCCCAATCCCAGTCCCGATCTCCTGACCGAAATCGAAGCAGAGATTGCTATCAAAGATGCCATCACCCCGCCAAAGACACCAGATGAACCCAGTGCCGTTGTGGAACCGCCCATGCGGAGACCACGCATTGCCCGCCAGCAGATGCAATCGCAATCGGTGCAGAATCTTCATCGGAGCGAGCTTAAAGTCTACCTGCACAAGACCAACTCCATGGCACTGGATATGAATGTAACGGCCCCGGCAAAGCTGGGGAACTTGGACCTGAATCTGCCCGAGCTGCCGGAGCTATACGGAGCCAGTGAGCTGAGCCTGGCGGCCAGTGATAATAACAAGGAGAATGATGAGCCTAGGTTGCAGCCATTGCAGGAACTGCCCAGAACTCCCATACCGAATGGTGGCTTTGCCGCCCAGCAAGCTCACTTCAAGAGCCTGGACTCCCTGTACTTCAACTCGAAGCTATCGCATCGTAGCTCCCAGCAGAGCTCCCACCAGAGTTTGGCCAGCAGCAATGCCGGAGAATATGATTTCGATCTCAAGTCCATTAGCTACCAGAGCCTGAATGCCCAGAATCTGTTTGTGTCCATTGACGAGCTGCAGGAGCTGACCCGCCAGATAAATGAATCGGAGGACTTTAGTCGTGAAATTGATCTGGAGTACTGCACCCACAGGGATCAGTTGAAGCCGAGTGAGCGGAGGATTACTTTGCTGAAGAACAAGAACCAGACCCTCATCAACTTTAGTCACAACAAGGAGAAGCTAAGAAAGGGCTGGCATGGCATGAAAAACTGGTTGGGTGAGGAGAGCTCCAAGATCAAGGAGGTGGTGCGCCAGCAGACACCACTCAAGCGGCTGGCCCAGTCCCGGAATAATCTCAACCAGTCGACGGCGGATGCCAGTGCCGCACGCAAGTCAATGTCACCGGATCGGAGTCGTCGTGACATGACCGAGAGCTGTGAGGATGTCACCGAACGCACCGAAATGGAATCATCCATGTCAAATAGGAATAGCGAGGAGGATTTATCGCCGCATGCCAAGCGGTTCAAGGATGAGGTATACATCTTCTTGGGGTTATATTGTTGTTGTCTGGGGTCTGGGATTTAAAGGAGGGGCTTCATCCTGAGGGCTTTTATATTGGCATTAACATTTGTTTATTTCCTGGAACAGGGACAGAACGGCTTTGAGGAACTCAGGCGATATGTCAAGCAGGGCGGTGACTTTAGCAAGGAGCTCATATTTGTCCTGCAGGAGAGGTATATTGGATATATTATATAGTAAGAAAGATTGTAAATTATATTGATTTTCCTTAGAGCCGACTCGGAGCTTATCTATTCGAAATCACTCTCCAAGCTGGCCAATAAGCTCAACAAGGCTGGCAGGGAGATTCCTGGCAGTGTGGCCGATGCCTGGCGTGGTGTGGCTACGGAAATGGAGAGCCGCAGCGATATCCATCGCCAGCTGGCGGCTTCGCTAACGGATGAGCTGGTCAAGCCGCTCAAGACTGTGGTCGAGGGTCATCATAAGGCTCGCAAGTCGGTGGGTAATCTTTAAATATTATCCCTAAAATATTTTAATAATCATTTTTCCGCCCTTTGCCAGGTGGAGAGCAATGTGGACAAGGCGGCCCGCGTCCTGGGCGAATGGCGTGCCAGCGAGGCAAAGGCTAAGAAGGCCTCCCATTCGGCTGCCCGGGAGAATGAGAAGCTGCAGGATGCCATGCTGGATGTACGCATCCAGAAATCCCCTTCGATTGCCCTACTCCACCAGGGACCAAACAAACAGGCCGCCGAGAAGGAGCTCAAGTCGGCGGAAAAGGACTGCGTCAAGTTGGACAATAAACGCAAGAAGGCCGAGGAGGCAGTGAAGCGAGCTGATGTCGAGTACTACACCCTGTGTGTGCGTGCCGAGCGGGCCAGGGTGGACTGGGAAATGGCCGTGCTCCGGGGCAGTGCCCAGCTGCAGAGCAGTGAGCAGCAACGTCTGGGCAATATGCATAATTTTGCCCAGCAATATGCCCGTCTCATTGCGGATATGAATCCAATACTGGGCGGACTCAGTGCCCGGCTGCAGCCACAGCTGGAGGCATGCAATGTGTCCAAGGATATGCAGGTGGTGCGTCACATTCGCCGGAATTCGGAGGGACCCAGCGAGCAGTTGTTGCCCGATTTTTACTGTGAACACACCACATTGGCCATGAATCGGGAGAGACGCAAACATGCCTTAATCAAGCTCCTGCAGTTGGTCAAGACGGATCTGGAGCGGGAGAGACGTTCCCGTGATGGATTGAGGGGACTATCCCAATCGCTGAACCATCAGGAGCATCAGAATATAACCGATAAGCTTTATCATGTGGGTTTCTTTTACATATGATTATTAAGTCATGATCTGAATAATGATAATCCTGGAAACTCATTTTATAGATCCGCTCCATGCTTACATATTTGGAGGGCGCCCGTCTTAAACTACACTCTGCTCTCTTGGAGTTGGATCACAAGCCCAGGACCACTCATCCTCTAGCCCAGCATATTCAGGTAAGAAGTTAAGGAGTTCTTCTAGGCCTTTTACTAATCCCTATTTCCCAACAGATCACCCGTGATCGCACTGGACTCCAGCAGAGCATCCTGAAAGTGCCCAATTGGCTAAAGAACAATGACAAGTCCCAGCAGCAGCATCAACAATCCGCTCTCGATATCACCGATATAGCTGCTGCCGCCTCCGACGAGCTGCCGGATGAGCACTGCTCCCATTTGCATGGCAGCAATAATAGCCACACCAATAGCAATGGCTCCTGCACGGACATCAGTTCCGTGGTGAAGCCTTTCAATCGAAGCAAAAGCAATATCGAGACCAATTTTACCAGCCAACCAAAGATAATCTCGACAACGAATGCCGCCGTGGCGGCCATGTCTGTCAAGGCCAAGACCCTGGCCAACAGTAATAATCATCATCATCATCAGCACCATCAGCATAATCTGGGTGGAGGCAGTGATCGTGGCCAGGCGGATGGTGGTTCCAATCAACAGGACTCGGACTTTGATGAGTTTAGCTCGCAGGACGAGGAGGATGAGGAGCAGCCGGTGAAGCCATTGCCCATTAAAGCACCAAATCCCCTGCAAACGCAGACGCATTTCTATCAGAATGCGCAGGATCTGCAGAAGAGCCAGAAGGAGGACGAGGACCAAGGTGTTGGCCCGATCCTTGGACGCTGCAAGGCCCTCTACAGTTACACCCCGAAGCTCTACGACGAGCTGGAACTGAGTCCCGGCGACATCATCGAGGTCCACGCCAAGCAGGATGACGGCTGGTGGCTGGGAGCACTTAGAAATCACATTGGCATCTTTCCGGCCACCTATGTGGAGGAGTGTGCCTAAAGGTCACATCTTATAGATAGTGTGTGTGAGTGTGTGTGTGGCTGTGCAAAGTGTGTATGAATTCGTGGGAATTTGATTTGTTTGATACAAAAATCAGGAATTGTAAATTTAATTCAAAATGCATTAGAAATGGCTTTAAAACAAGGAAATAATTAGATCATTTATATGAAAATACATGTGTTACTCAGCCAAGAATTATAAATTTAAATGAAGAACTGTCAGTTTTTAATTTAAATAACCATTTGGAACTAGTTTTTGGTTAATTTTTGAAAACTTTCTTTATAAGAAATTCTTGAAGCATTTGCTAAAAATATTTAAAACTCTAAGAAATCACCAGTAACTTCTTTATTATAACATTTTTCTATTAAATTCAATATTAATTATCTATTCCAATTAAAAATATGAACTATTAGCAAATATTTACCACAATTTAAAATTAAATTAAACCTTTTTCTATTCGAAAACAAATACAAACGAAATAACAGAAAATATTTCATTTTTGTGAAAAATGAAAATATTTAGTTGATTTTTTTGAAGAACTACTTAATATCTTTCATTAGTAAATGATTGAATATATACTAAATACTTTTGTAAAGAGCATAAGTTGTTCAAAAATATAAAAATATATACTTAACAAAGAAAGAAAAAGGTTAAAAGATTAAATATCTGAATCACTTACAAAACTACAATAATTTTCATTTAAAGAACTTATCATTTGCCAAATTCTAGGCTGAAGTATATAAATATGAATCAGATTATATATATTGTATCAAACAAATCGATCCGCTTTAGTGTTATATATATGTTTAATTATTATCCTGCTGCTGACAAACTGTTGATCCCAGGACAGGCCTCTGCATTAAGCATACGAAGTAATCTATGATAAAAGATTGTATTTAATTTTATTTTACCTATTTTTTTTTTACATATTTGTTAACTACCAATTACCGATTACCAATTATATGAATATATTATATTATAAAGCCCAGCTGAGTCATTAGCCCATTATCAAGCGAGCCCTTTAATTTAGCTCTGACTTATGGCCCTCATCAATAAAAAGAACATTGTTACTACATCATTTTTTATTGCATAAACATAATGGAACGATATATATATTATATATATTATTATTATATTCAACATACATACGATTTCATCTACGTATGCAGGAATCACAAAGGTTTTTTTTTTGCTCTCGTGCGTAATTACATTTCATAAATTAAAAGTAATCATACATATATATATCGATATATATATATATTTGTAAAATATTAAAAACAAAAATTAAATATGCATATTTTGTAAAAATATTTGTTAAAACTCGATGAATATCGAAAATCGTGTATTATTTATCGCCCAGGGTAAGGAAACTGAATAATCATAGCAGGAGGTCAAGGCAGCCCTTGGCTTAAGATTTATGAACAAGTTCCCTGTATATATATATCCGTTCTTTTTTAAATTCTTTCTTTCTCAAGAAAGTTGTAAGCCAAATTGTATAGGAAACTTTTAAATTGGAAAGTAAAATCTTTCTAGATTGTAAATTGCTTGTCAAAATGGCTAAAAGTATTACATTTTATTTGATAAATAAGTTTATTTGCTTTAGGTACAATAATCAAAGGATCTAAGGGCCTTTTTCAATATGTACTAGCTCCTTAAAGATCCATATTTCAACTTTATTTTTGTTGTCAGAGTATATTAATTCAGTTTAATATTCAGATACCTTCTACTAGTGACCTCAAACCGCTAGATATTTAAGGAAAAAGGCATTGGTGTAGCACCATTTATCATTCCAATCCCTTTCCATTGCTGACCTCAGCGGCTCCTCCAGATCCACCCATTGCCGTCCCCTGACTGTCCAGGCAACGTAGCTTCTGGTACATGTGTATATAATGGGCCTGCAGTTGCTTCTGATAGCCCAGGACCTTATCCTTCTCTGCACACCACTGACGCTTCTCCAGCTCGAGATTCAGCCTAAAATCATCGAGCTTCTGTCGCAACTTGGCTATATCCTCTGCATATGTGGTGGACTCCTCGATGAGCGTGTCCAGCGTTTGCTGCGGCACCTGTCCCTGATCCAGCTGAAGGCGCTGCACCAGAATATCCAGCTTAGGAGGCACCTCCGGCGGAGACGGTGTCGCTGTCGTGCTGGTGGTGTATTTCCTTGTCTTTTGGCAAATCTCATTGAGATTGTCCAACTGCTGCTTGAGGCGTGTATAGCGACCACATGGCTCCTCGCCATATTCATGGGCAATGGCCAGATCGGAGAGCTCCTTGCGCAGCTTGGCCAATTCGCTGGTCAGAGCTCCAATGACCTGATCCTTCAAGGTGATGATCTTCTGCAATTGTCGCTGGTCGGGCTGTGGCTTGGGTTGCTGCTGGTTTAATTCTGGCTGATGTTGCTGCTGATGTTGCTGTTGCTGTTGCTGCAGTTGCTGTTGCTGCTGATGTTGCTGCTGATGTTGCTGCTGTTGCTGTTGCTGCTGCTTTTGCTGTTGCTGCTGCTGTTGCTGCTGCTGTTGCTGCTGTTGCTGCTGCTGTTGCTGCTGCTGAAGCTGCTGTTCCTCCTTCGCCTGCTGCTTTGGTTGACTTTGGCTTTTGGATGTGTCACAGTTGTTGCTGCTGATTTTTCTGTTATTATTATTGCTGTTACTATGCTTTAGGCTGACAAGAGCATGATCCTTCATATTGATTTCCATCTGCAAAGAAATAATATTATAAGTAAGGTAGCAAACCACCTGAAAGCATTGACCTACATGCGCCTCCTTGAGCTGCGTCTTAAGTAAAGCTATCTCTCCATTACGCTCGCAGACCCGCCACTCGCTGTCCTCCAACTGGGACCGCAGGGCATCCACCTGCTGCTGCAGACTCTGGTTGGAATCCCGAGCTTGATCCAATTGCTGCTGCAGCCGGTTCACCTGCTCCGACTGGCGCAGCTTGTGCTGCTTCAGCTGGAACTGCTGTAGACCCAAGAGCTGCTCCATTTTGCGCAGCTTCAACTGGCACTCTCTCTGCTGACCCTCATAGAACAACCTCAGCCGCTGGTTCTCATGTTCCCAGTAGACTTCCTTGTCCTGAGGGGAAATTCGTATAAAAAAGGTAAAAGTCCAAATGAATAATTAGTATATAATAGAAAACTTCTATAAATCCCAATTGTAACCTTTTGTACTTGGAAAATTACTTTCTCATTGTGCTCCATGGCCTGTCGCAGGTACGAGAGCTCCGAATCGCGATCCTTGAGGGCCGCCTCCAGCTCCGAGATGCCGGAGTCCGAGGGCGAGGGTGTCAGGTCGCTGCTGCCCACCAGAGTTCCACCACCGCTACTTTTGCTGTCAAACAAAAACGTTAATAAATAATAATAATAATAAAATCCAGCTTAATTACCTGCTGGCTCCATCGGTTCTGTCATGGCCTCCACCTGGACTGAGGAGATCCAGTGTGAGGGAATCCTCATTGCTGGAGCGTTGCAGGAGGCGATGGTTTCGACGCCGGGCGGCCAGGTGTCGCAGATCTGTGGTGCCTACATAAAAATATATATTAAATATTAATATAAAACTGTTTAAAGAATTCACAAAAGAATTTTCCAAACAAGTTATGCTAGTTAAGTGCACAATTTGAAATGGTTTTCCCCTGGCAATATAAATCTACAGTTTTTATGAACACTCCCAATGCCAATGGAATACTTTAACTTCAACTAGATAATGTGGGTAATGTTAACTGCTACTCACTGCCAAACTTCTGGCTAACTGCCGGCGGCAGGGGGGCCAGCGATGGTGTAGATCCGTAGCCATATCGCTCCGTTCCACCAGCGGAACCAGCGCTGCCCTCCGACAATGGCAGCTGCAGCGATTGATGTTGCTGCTGCTGCTGCTGCAACTGCAACTGCTGTTGCTGCTGCTGCTGTTGTTGCTGTTGCTGTTGCAGCTGCAACTGTTGCTGATGCTGCTGCTGCTGCTGACAAGCGATGCGATAATCCGGCTCAAATGGTATGGGCTTGAAGGCTATCGGTCTCAGAAAGTTGCCGCTGGTCTGGAGAGAAATATAAAAGGTTAATTAATAAATAATCGCAAATAATTTGCATTTACATGGTTTTATTTTATTTAGAGTTTCCAAGACCCCACCCCGGAGTGTTGCTGTGCCTCACCTGTTCCGCCTCGCCCAGTTGTTGTTGCTGCTGCTGCTGCGCCCGACTTCCGCTAGCAATGGGCGTGGTCCGCCTCTGCTGCTGCTGCTGCTGATGCTGTTGTTGTGGCTGCAAAGTTGCTGGTAGAGATTGCATTGCCTCCTCCTCGGAACCGGCACCGGAACCGGAACTGCCGCCGCCGCCACCGCCACTGCCACCCACACAACTGCGACTCAGCTCGAACATCTGACGGATATTCTGGAACTTGCTGCGCATCTGCAGACCCACACCCAGGCCCAAGCCCAAGCCCAGACCAAGGCCCACGCCCTCGTCATCAAGATTGCTGTGACTGCCGAATTTCTGGCTCAAACGTCGCTGCTCCTGCCGTGACTTCAGTGTGCCGGTGTGAAAGGCCGGCTGGCCGGGATTCAAACCCTGGCCAAACTGCAGCAGGGGTGATCCGAGCGAGGACTGACCCAGACTGGGCGTAGTACGCAGGGCCAGCGGAGCGTTATTCTCCAGCGAGACACTGCGCTTGTGACCACGCTTGACATTTGAATGGGAAAAGGAGCCACCCGATCCAGCGGAGATCACAGGTGGTGTTCCAGGTGGAGGCGGGACAATGGAGTGAGCCGGCAGGGCCATATGCGTGGCAGCCGACATTCTGAACAAGGATCTGGAGTAAATTGAAAGGGAAAGATATTATGTTATATAATATTCAAACAAGCTATATACAAGAATATGCTACCAACTTGAGAGATATATAAGATATATTATCAACAGTTCATAAAGTATATAAAATATCTTATTGACTTGAAAGATATATTATTAATAACTCAGAAAATGAGCATTATATATAGTATTAGATAAAAAGTCTGCCAGAATTTGTATACTCTTCAAGGGTATTATAATTTTAGTCAGAAGCTTGTAACACTTGAAGAAGTCATTTCCGACCCTATAAAGCATATATATTCTTGATCAGAATCAACAGCTGAATCGAAAAATTTTTCAATTTTTTCAAAATATTTTATTGGGTTATTACATCATTAAAAGTTCAAAAATTGACAAAAATTTAAATTTTTTGTTGAGTATGTAGATTTATTACAGCAACAAAAACTAACATAGGACCGCTTTCCGATTTGAAATTAATGCATTTTTGACCGAGTTATAAGTTTTTACTTTTTAACTTTAAACTTCCCAAAGTTGGTTTTCCTTTCTTGTTCGATAATATTTTCTTTTAGCTTATTGGCTGATTTGGGTTCTCCATTTGTCTAGGTCAAGCTTGCCCCTATTTATCTTTGAAATCTTGAAAAGTTCTCAGATTTGGCATTCGTTTCCTTAACTTATGTCCGTGACCTTGCTTTATTGACAGTTTCGGGCTTGCAAGCCAAAATAATAAATAAATGAACAAAGACAAAGGCGAAAGCAAAAGAGGCAAGCGATTTAATTAATGCTGTCCAATTTATTAGCTAATGATGCTTATGGAATATTTATATATAAAACTTTTAAAGGTGCCTAGGATTTTATAGAATAATATATGATTTGTAAAAGAATATATCCTTTACTTTTGTAGTTAAATTTCACTTCCTATCCGTACCTCTTCAAGTATTCTTTTGTTTAAATATATTTCTCTCTCTTCTCTAGTCTAAGTTAATTATTAAAATATATATATATATAAATTGTTTTGATATATTATACATATATCCTTTCTAGACTAACTTTCTTCCTTCCCATGCTATTTTATTCCATTAAATCATACATTTTTAGCACGTTTTCGAATGCTTTTTGTGGGGCCACACAGAGCAGAAGCTCCTCTTCTGGCTGCCATTATTGGATCTTCGATCTCCCAAGTCCGGAGCCCAATCCGGACTAATGCCAAGCCCAAGACTTGCATTCATAAAGCCGATTCTAACGGTCGCTTCGACCACACTGGCACTAGGTACTTTCTCATTTCTTGTCGCACGACCCATATTTCTACAGCGATTTCCATCTGTATCTGTCCAACTCCAACTGGCCAACTCGTTCGGGCCAAGATCGCGCAAGCCAGGCACTTGTAAGGTTCTCTTGCCAACTGGTTTTTCTAATATATATACATTCTGCTGCATATATATATATATATATATATATATATATATATATTTCTATAGTGTTTTTCTGCGCGATTTCCCTCGGCTTCCAATCAAAATGCAGAGATCGGGGCTAAGGTTAAGGTCACGATGTGTCCTCTTTTGAGGGCAGAGGTTCTTTATTTATGGCTCCGGCAATTTTTGCAAAACTCCGGCAATTGGGTAACCACAAAGCAACACAGAGTTCCTTTAAGGTTTTGGCCAGGTTAGTAAATTAAAGTCAACGAAGTTTGCACGAGGGTCAGAGGTGTACACTGGGCAATGGCTTTTGCTTTCGAAATATTTGCAACAAACATGACAAAAATAAGACAAGTATCTTTTACATGTTATTTTTGCAACCTGTGTAATCTTGATTTATGAAACCATAGTATAATAAATCTAGTTGAATCCAAAATTACTTTAATTAAGAGGCTTTAATTCAGGTTGACTGACTATGTTAAATAATATGTTTATTTTAGATTGGATAGATTAGGAGCTTTAAAAGACATTGCTCAACATATTTTTAACAACATTTTCCTAGCAATATTATTTGTACATTCCATTATCTAATATACATATATGTTTTTGTATTCTTTACCCCATAAATTACAATCAATTTCTTCTATTTATTTCAAAATAAATTCCAGCAAGGTTTTTAAAGTTTTAACTTTGTTTGTTTTTAATTTCCTTTTCCAATTTGTATAATCTATATATTTCTTTAAAATTTAGCTTAAATAACCTTTCCAATTTATGCCTTTCTAATGAAGTTAGACAGAGACACAGACCAAACCAAATTAAAGCAAAACAAAGTAAGTCAATGGCTTGAATCCGACCGCAAAAGATACATTAAACTCCATGGCACGTTCATAAGGCGGGCTTCCTGTTTCCCGGAATTGTTAACTATCGTTGTGCCATTGTCATTTTGTTGCTATTTTATCAGTGTAATGAACAGGTTCCATTGCTCCAGATATCGGCAGATAAGTGCTGTTCTGTGTAACTCGCAACTGATAGCATTGTCTTGGCGGCAAGTAAATAAATATCTCCTTACTATCTCGCACTATTTCTCACTATTTCTCCACGCCGACTAACCGTTAAACACTTGTATTAAGTCGGAACGGTTAGATAACTGTCAATCAAGCGATCGCTAACCATTGAAGCTCATCGGCAGCAGGTTGTGTATCCGCACAGTTGAGGTCAAACGCGTAGTTCTTAAGCTTAAACAACAAAATTCTACTTTGTTTTATCTTTATTAAAATATAATTGAATGTTTGGTAAAGGCATTTACTTTTTATCCAATATATATATTTTTATACCCTTGCAGGGTATTATAATTTCAGTCAGAAGTTTGCAACGCAGTGAAGGAGGCACCTCCGACTATATAAAGTATATATATTCTTGATCAGGATCAACAGCCGAGTCGATCTAACCATGTCCGTCTGTCCGTCTGTCCGTCTGTCCGTCTGTCCGTTTCTACGCAAACTAGTCTCTCAGTTTTGGAGCTATCTGAATGAAACTTTGCAGTTAGTCTTCTATATACTCTCACTCGTATATATGTCGGAACGGGCCGGATCGGACGACTATATCATATAGCTGTCATAGGAATGATCGGAAACGTTTTACAAAAAAAAATTATAAAATTTTTAGTTTTCAACAGAATTTGATCAAATTTGAGATATAGCCATTTCATATTATTCTACAATTTTGTGTAAAATTTTATGAAAATCGGACGACTATATCATATAGCTCCCATAGGAACGATCGAGAAATTAATTCAATTAAAAAGTATAACATTTTCAGTTTTCAACAGAATTTCATCAAATTTGAGATATAGCCGTTTCATATTATTCTACAATTTTGTGTAAAATTTTATGAAAATCGGACTAATATATCATATAGCTCCCATAGGAACGATCGAGAAATTTGAGAGGAATGAGAATGGCGGTGGCTGTTGTCGGAAGACTGACAATCGCGGTGGCGATAAAATTTTTAGTTTTCAACAGAATTTGATCAAATTTGAGATATAGCCATTTCATATTATTCTACAATTTTGTGTAAAATTTTATGAAAATTGGACGACTATATCATATAGCTCCCATAGGAACGATCGAGAAATTAATACAATTAAATTTATAACTTTTTTAGTTTTCAGCTGATTTTCATCAAATTTGAGGTATAGCCATTTTATATAAGTCTAAAATTTTGTGGCAAATTTCATAAAAATCGGACGACTATATCATATAGGTGCCATACAAACGATCGTTTGATGTAGAGGAAAAATGCAAATCTGTGAATGTAAAACTGCAAATATAATATGTATAGGTGAATGAAATGAAAGCAGGTATTACTTCATTGTTTTTTAACACAAGTATATATAATTTATATTGTATGGATTCCTATTCATAGAAGTTCTATCTGCAAGGGTATATAAACTTCGGCGTGCCGAAGTTAGCTTCCTTTCTTGTTTTTTAATAATAATACTTATGAATGATTAGCTTAAGGGAAATCACAAGTCTAGTGCTTTGAAACTCTCTCTAGAAAGGGAAATACTTTAATAAACTTTATTATTTTGTAATTAATATGACAAAAGCTAAACTTATCTGGGTTATTTTAAGCCTTTTAGTATGTTAAGCCACCACATATTCCCCCCGCTTAATGGTAGCTATTCTCCTGACCTCAATTGTGCATACACACACACATTTTTGCCTCGCATTGTGCCTTGCGTATCTTTGTATCTTTTGCTCTAGCCCGTGTGACCATTGTGTAGTATGGCTTTGTATCTATTGGCTCGTTAAATGGCCAGCAATTTACAGGGCGAGAGGGGAGTGGACTTGAGCTAAGGCCCTGCCTGCTTGACTGCAAATCTAAGGGGAAATCTTAGACTCAAACAAAAGCCGCCGATCGGCCGGCGACAATTTTCAAACAAACGACGACGACGTCGTTAAACTGCCAATGTAATTTATTTACTCCGGCTTGCGAAATACACAGAGAGCCGTCGAAACATTCACAAATCACATTAGCAGCCAACTGTTAGATTGCCTGCGAAATGTATCTGCAAAAATCGTATTCTGCCAGGGTGCGGAGAAGTATAAAAACAAAAATGCGAATAACTATGAAATATAAAAAAATATATACGAAAAATAAAATATATACAACAACAACAGCGAAATATTATGCCAAAACTCAGAGAGCCCCAGAGTCAGAGCAGAGCTGGAGTCAGAGCCAGAAAACCAGTTTATCGGCCAGTTCTTGATGGTCACTTTGGGAAGTGATTTCGTGTTTTTTGAAAGTTTCTATGAATGAAAGTCTTTAAAGGCAACGCCAGCCGATAGATCATAACAGATCCGCATCGATATTCTCGCCCGGTATCGGGTACAAGTGTTTTGACCCTAAAATCAGCTATATGATAGGTACAAAAACGGTCTGGAGAGTGTGCCACGCGGCGTATGAGTAATATGCGAGATGTTGGCCAGCGCGTTGCAGCAAGGGGAAGTCGTCGTCATCCCCACAAACTGGTCAAACTTGGCCCGAGATATTAGCCAATGCTTTTCCCACGCTCACTCGCCGCATTTTG